CACACACACACACACACACACACACACACACACACACTTGACCTCAAGAAATCTGTGCTTAACTGGTTATCTTCCTATTCCTCATCTTTCTGGGAACTAAGATCAGCAAAAATCTCTAGAAATTTGACCTAGCCTTGATGACTGGGATAAGGAAACTTAAACAAGAGTTTATTGCTCATCTTTCTCCCATAAAGCAGCTGGTGAATCCAAATAATGTGCCTTTATAATGGCAGTGCAATTCCTCTGTCCTAATAGAGTCTCCCTCCATTTCCTGTGTAATATTTTAAAATGTACTTTAAATTTTTCTTATAGCTTTTATATTACAAGTCAATCCATTCTTTGTCTTTACCTTAGGAATGTATTACCAAAATGCCTACATGATTATGATTATGACTGACTCTTGCTTAAAATTCATCAATATATCCTTATAGCACATATGATGAAGTTAAAAATTAGCTGCTTGACAAGGCTCAAAATAGGCCATTTCCAGCAAACCCAAACTATCTGTGGTTCCCACAAATAGCCAAGCTCTTTGAGATCTCCATGAAATTTGCATGTGCTAATCACTGTCTCTGCAAGCCTGCACTCTGGGCTCTCATTGGCCAAAAAGAGTCATGTTTGACTAAACGGCAATAAACAACAGCAACAATCACTGCCTGCAATTGGCATATTGTCTCTCATCAACCTACAGTTTGTCGTGTGAACGTCTTTATTCCATGTGATATCAGCTAGAATGGCAACTTTTTTGAGAAGTCTCCAATCCCTTCATTTAATATGCTTCTTCGAAAGCATTCTGTGCTAAGAGCTTACTTGACCTTAGGGATATAATGATGAACATGGACCCCACTCTCATGCAATAGGGGAACTATGTCATTGAAGCAAGTAACCTAGAGGAACAACTTTTTCCAGAAAGGTGAAAAGGTGATATTAGATGAACTATTACTTGCTATGCTGTTGACAGCTGAATGGTGAATAAGGATTACAGAAGAATTGACACCTTTGAACAGTTGTGTCGAAGAAGAATACTGAATATGCCATGGAATGCCAAAAGAGATATGTCTTGGAGAAGGTACAGCCAAAGTGTTCCTTGGATGGAAATATGATTAAACTTCACCTCACTTTGGGCATATTGCTAATCGCTCAAGAGGGACATCATGTTTGGGAAGGTGGCAGAACGGTGAAAGAGAGGAGGACCCTTGACCAGGTGGATTGGCACAGTGACTGCTGCAATGGGCTGAAGTGTGTCAGAGATTGTGAGGATGGCACAGGATAGGACAGTATTCATTTCTGTTGTTTATAGTGTTGCTAAGAGGCATACTCAATTCAACAGCACCTAACAACAAGATGACAATTATTAAGACTGATTACCAGAAGAGTAAATTAAACAGAAGTAGGTTGAGATGAGTCATTAAAGGATTTGTAAACTCCTGGAAATGCATACTTCAAGCTAAGACATGAGAAGTCATCTCAGATAGAGCATTTTATAGTGAATCCCTTTGCTTGAAACTTGTCTCACATCATTCATAAAAATCGACCCCAGGTAAACTCTAGATTTAAATATGATAGGCAAAAAATCATCTAGAAAATGACTCAGTGGAATACGTTTATAACAACTAGGTAAGCACCGCATCTTAAAAAAATGCTAACTTTGAAGGAAATTATTAATGAAGTTGTTTATATTAGGGTAGATGTTTTGTATTCACTAAGAGGTCAAACAGTAACTAAGAGAGATGATATTTGTTACACATATAACAACTAAATAGTTCATACTGAATAGCCTATAGATTGCCAAAAGAACTTTTTCTTAGAAAAAAAAATGCAGCCAGAGTACTCCTTGGAGACAAAGATGATAAAGCTTCATCTCTCAATACTTTGGGCATGTTGTTAGGGGAAGTTATTCCTTGGAACAGGTCATTATTCTCGGAAAGGTGGAAGGTTAGTTAAAGATAGGAAGACCTCTAAAATGATAGATTGACATGGTCACTGCAGCAAGAGACTCAAATGTGTCAGAGATGATGAGGATGGCCAAAAATAGGACAGGATTCAAGTCTGCTGTTTATAGGGTCACTGTGATTTGAATTCATCTTACTTAGATCCATAGGCAATACTCTTGGTACCCATAGTCAGGAGATCAGGATATGGAGTGCACTGGGAAAGTCTGTAGGTAGGGATCTCTTCAAATTACTGAGGAGTAAATATGCCATTTTGAGGGCTAAAGTGTACCTGATTCAGGCCATGGTTTTTCCAGTCACTTACTATACATTTGAGAGATGGACAGTGAATAAAGATGACAGCAGAAGAATTGATGCCTTTGGATTTTGGTGTTGGAGAAGAGAACTGAATATCTTATGGAACGCCAAAATAATGACAGATATATCTTGGAGAAAGTGAAGCCAGAATGCTCCTTGGAAGTAAAGATGATAAAACTTCATCTCATACACTTTGGATATATTGCTAAGAGTGGTGATTTCTTGGAGAGGAACATCATGTTTGGGAAGGTGGAGAGGCAGCAAAAGAGAGGGAGACCCTCAAAAAAGTGGGTTGACTCCATGACTACGTCAGTGGGCTTGAGTGTGTCAGAGATTGTGATGATGGCATGCGGGATAGAACAGTGTTCAGACTGGTTGTTCACAGGGTTTCTATGAGTTATACTCAGCTCAGTTGCTATGTGTTGTACTCAACATGTAACAACAACAAAATGCAAACCAATAGGAAAAATGCTGGTAATGATATAAAAAAATGAGCAGGAACAGGGATTTCACAAAACAAAATATGCAAATGAAAATATATTTAAATATAATTATAACCTGGGAAACATAGATTTCCATTGTTCTTATCGAAGTTCAGTAGTTGTTCTTAAAAACACTGGCGTCTGAGCTCTTTGCAGTTTCCCACAGACTTCAGTTTTATTATTGCTTTATAGGTATTTTTCTGAGTTCCTCAGTCAGCCTTTCTAGAAGTCATTATCCTCACTTCAAAGGTAGGGAAGTCAAGACTGGAGAGGCTTGTTTGTTGTCTAAGCACACACAGCCAGGCAGTGGTGCAGCCAAGGTTGGGTATGGGCAGGCTTCACTGACAGAATCTTAGGATAAAATAGAGGTTTATCTTTCCCAGTGCTGCAGTCATTTTTCAGGTGATAAAAGACCATTAGGCACACATATTCACTTCTACAAAATCATTTTGAAGTTATCTCATCCACTTTTCCCCATAGGTGAAAAGTTGTTGTTGTTGTTGTTGTTGTTAAGTGCCATTGAGTTGCATTAATAATTTTATTTTATGCTGTTTTCTGCTTTCCTTTAGGAAGATGTATCAGTCAATGTGCAAAATTTCACACCTAAGGACTACGATAACTAGAAAGCAGCTAGTGGTTTTGGATTTTGTTTATTCGAACTACATGACATGGTCATGAGAACATCTTAATCATCTACTAACAGTCTAACAGCCATGTCTCAAGAGAAAGATGAGTGATCTCCTATATGATTTACGGCCTCCAAAAACCTATTGGAGGTTCAGCTCCGAGGTCTGATTTCAGAGCAATGAGTTTTTGAGACTAACAGTCTAAGGATACTGGTAGCACAGTGGTTAAGCTCTTGGATACTGATCAAAAGGACTGTAGTTCAAACATACTAGTCACTCCATGGGAGAAAGACAGACAGGAGTTTGGTTGCTTTGTAAGGATTTAACGCCTTAGAAACCCTATGGAGCCATTCTATTCTGCCTTATAATGTCACTATGAGTTGGCATTGATACCGCGACAATGGCTACCAATAACCTATTGCAGATACGAAGTTTCCTCGAATAGAAAATAAAATCTGTGTTTTTAAATTGACAAATTTGGATTATCTTTGAAATACAGCTTCAAGTACACATTTTATGACAATGAGCTAATTCATACATAGAAATAAAAATAGGTATTAATACTAAATTATATTTTTCCCAGCATTTTAGAATAATAATTCCATCTTCTTTTGTCTCCAGTTTCTTTTGCAGTAGGTATCTCAACAGTAAGCAGAGGGAAGCACAGTTACCTGAGGCAAACACTGACATCTGTCATCTCCAGGATGACTCCTTCAGAAGAGAAGGACTCTGTCGTGATTGTTTCCGTTGCAGATGTATGTATTGAAAGTAACTATGTTTTCATTATCCTGACCTATAAACTCTCTCGACCCCCTTACTCAATGGTAATCACTACACCATGTTAAAATACAGTTTTACATTTAGATAGCAACTCATAGATACCTTTTTGAATAGCAGACAATACATTTAATGTTCATTTGACACCACCAAGAAAGAATTACATACATAAATTTAAAATGAACATATAAAGTTTACTGTAAAGAAATAAGATTGTTTTAATTTATTTGCATTTAATACAGGAGCTCTACATGCTGTATGAATAGGAAAATTAGATATGTAAAAGAATATTAAAATTGATGCTTATAAATATGGTTAGAGGTCAAAGGTCAACTCATCATTGAAAAATGACACTCTGGTTCCTTGGGGAGGCAATGCTTTTCTCTCCTCATATGAGATGAAACTGTATGTAATGTGAATTTCTTTTCCATGGGCACACAGGGTCTACCAGTTTGGTTCTTCATATGACCTCAGTGTTTCTTTACAACTGGATATATATTGTTAGTCTACAAAATGGAGTATTGTAGGGTGGTTTTTTGTTTGTTTGTTTGTTTTTACTATTGTCATAAATGTGAAATGTCAGATGATGAGGTAGTCAATAATGAGGAGACATAATTCAGTAATAGAAACTGCCTAGCAGTGGCTTAGTGGTTAAAAGTTGTGCTAAAATTCCAAAAGCACATGGTTTGAATTTACCAGCAGCTCTGTTAGAGAAAATTGGAAAATTTCCTCTCATACAATTTACTGCCTATGAAAAACCACTAGAGGGCCAGCTATGAGTGGGTTCCAACCTGATGATACACAACAACAACAGGTCCAAAAAATAGTGCACGAATCAATTTATTAAGTACAGTTTGGGGGGACATGAGGTGCTGGAGAAGATTTATATATACTTATTGTTGCTAGATGCCATTGAGTTAAAATTGATGCTGCAGCGGGTTTTCAGAGGCTGTAAATAAAGTGGGAGGAGATTGTTGAAGGTCTTTCTCTCTTATGCTGACCTTCCACCTTTCCAAGCATGATGAATTTGTCTAAGAACTGGCCTCACTTAAAAACATGCCTAAAGTATGTAAGATGAAGTTTCACAGATAGAGCACACTAGCTACGTTTTTCTCTTAAGTCCTCAAGAACCAAAGCATACCCCGTGTCTACTCTACCTAAATTTAAAAACCATTTTAAGAGTGGATTTGAGACATTGAACACTAATGATTAAAGGCCATCTGAGTTGTGGAACAACAGCAAGGCTATCCACCTAGGAAGAAAAAAGAAATCATTATAAAGATCATTAGGGGAGAAAGAAAAGACAAAAATGGATGTCAGGAGAGACTCTGAAAAATGGACTAGAACGTAAAAAAGCTAAAACAAAAAGAAAAGAAATGACACAGTAAAAGAGATGAACAGAAGGTTTCAAAGGGCAGCTCAAGAAGAGAAAACAAAATATTATAATGAAATGGGCAAAGAGTTGAAGTGGGGGAGGGGAGAAGTACCTGCTTGGGATTTCTTAATTTGAAAGGACTGAAGAACAAACTCAAGCCTGTATTTGCAATACAAAGGATGCTATGGACAAAATAAATAACAATCCAGGGAGGATCAAAAAAAGATGGAAGGAGTACACACAGTTACGGTACAAAAAATAATTGACTGACACGGAATCATTTCGGGAAATAGCATATGATAAAGAACAAATGGTAGTAAATGAAGAACTGAAAGTTGCACAGAAGGCATTGCCAAAAAATAAGGCCCCAGGAATTGATAAGGTATCAACTGATATATTCCAACAAACAGATGCAGCCTTGGGTGTGCTCATTAGTCTGTTTTGAGAAATTTAGAAGACAGTTACATGGCCAACTGAATTGAAAAGATCCATATTTGTTGCCATTTTCCAAAAAGGTGACCAAACAATGTGGAAGAAATTATCAAACAGTATAATTAATATCACACACATGTAAAATCTTGCTAAATATTATTAGGAAATGGCTCAAACAGTACATTGACCAAGAACTGCCAGAAATTGAAGTTGGTTCTACAGGAGGCTGTGACACCAAGGATATCATTATTGATGTCAGACACATCTTGGTGGAAAGCAAAGAATGCAAGAAAGATGTCTGTCTAGTATTGTTGACTATGCAAAGACTTTTGACTATGTGGATCACAACAAATTATGACTCACATTGAGAAGAATGAGAATCCCAGAACACGTAATTGTGTTCCTGTGAAAATTTAACTAGAGTTATAATAAAAGATTTAAAAGAAGACTGCAAAACACTACTGTAATTAAGTAAAAGAGATCTGCATAAGTGGAAGGACATACTACAAACATGTATAGGAAGAGTTAGCCCTGTGAAGATATTGGTAACTACTCAAAGTGGCCTGCAGTGTAATCCAGACCCATTCTCAAGCAATCTTCTCTGGGAGATGGGAGATTCAATTACTAACATTATGTGGAAATTGAAGATAGCTTATGTAAGCAAAGTGCTACTAAAGTACAATGCTGACAGGGATAAAATAATATCCACACCCAAGTAAGACCAGTATATATAACTAATATTAAAAATATACACCAACTATTAAAGCCAAAGATGAAGAAATTGAGAAATCCTATCAACTTCTGCAGTCTGAACCTGATTGAATGTTAAATCAAGGTACTTTAACAAAAGTATAATGTTGTCAATACATATGGACTTCACCTAATTGAAAACATAGGAGTCAAATTGACTACATCTGTATGAACATTGCTGTTAAGTATTATCAAGTTATCACCAACTCGTAACTGACCCCCCAGCTGCTTTTCACAGGCTATAAAGTGCACAAGAGGAGATTATCTATCTTTCTCCCACAGTGAAGAACCACACATTTGAACCACGTGCCTCTGAGTTGGTAGCACAACTCCATACTACTAAGCCCCCAGAGCTCCCCATAAGCATCTGTGTGAATAGACAGTGGTAAACTCACTATCAGTATATAGAATAAGGTCAGGGACTGACTGTTGAACAGACCCTCAGCTGCTCATAAGCGAGTTCAAATTAATGTTAAAGACAATTAAAATATTAGTCCACAAGGACCAAAATACAGCCTTGCAGTTATCCTACCCAAACTTAGAAACAATCTCAAAAATAGATTTGATGCACTGAAACCTAAAATGTGAAGATCAGCTAAGTTTTGAGATGATGTCAAGGATATCATAAGTAAAGAAAGCGAAGAGTCACTTAAAAAACAGAAAAGAAGGCGAGCTCTGGTGGCCTAGTGGCAGGAAACTGATTGCAATCCCAGAGGTGCGCGGTTCAAATCCACCAGATGCTCTGCTGAAGAAGGAGAAACAATCGCCTCCTGTAACAGTCAGATCCAATTTGACGGTACACACATTAAATAAATAAATAGATAAATAGATAATAAATAAATAAATAAATAGATGAATGAATGAATAAATAAATAACAGAGAAAAACTGATGTTAGAAGAGATTCTGAAACTTTTCTTGAATGGAGCAGAGTTAAAGTTAAGGGAAGAAGAATAATGAAGTGATAGAGCAGAGGATTTCAAAGAGCAGCTCAAGAAGATGAAACAAAATACACCAAAATGTTACATTCCTTATCTGTAGTCTCCTTTTATGTCTTTGTTAGGGTATTTATAGTGAATAGATCACTGATTGTACAAAATTTTATGAAGAGATCTCTGGCTTCATTTCTGTCACCAACCCTGTATTTTCTAGCTAGCAAAGAGCTGGAGTTTGAAAATCAAAAGGGAAAAATCACGTTCAGCATGTTTCAAGCTCAAAGGACCAAAGACCACATTCACACCTAGAGTTTCAAGGCTCAAGGATTCTGTGAACAAAATATTGAGTGATTTAGGAAGTATCAAAAGAAGACAGAAAGAATAGACAGAATCAATGTACCAAAAAAAGCAGATGACACAGAACCATTTCCAGAAGTAGAATGGAACAGTGAGACAATGTTATTGAGGGAAGAAATCCAGGCTGTGCTAAGGATATTGACAGTTCTATGAACAAAAGATAGAAAACTTGCCCTATTTTGCTGTCTTCTCAGAATCATGGGCATGTTCAAGTCCATTGCTGCAGCCACCTTGTCAAGCCATCTCATTTAGGGTCTTCTTTCTCACTAGTTCTACTTTTCCAAACATACCTTTCTCAAGGACTGATTTTCCAAGTATGATGCCTTTCCCCAAGGATCTACCTCTTCTAATAACATGCTAGAAGTATGTGAGACTGCATTTCACCATCCTTTCCTCTAAGAGCACTCTGGTTGCACTTCCTCCAAGATAGATTTGTTTGTTCTTTTGGCAGTAAGTCTATGAGGATATTGAATACTCTTTGTAAATATCACAATTCAAAGGCATCAATTTTCTTTGGTTTTCCTTAGTTATTGTCCAACTTTCAGATGCATATGAAGCCGTTTAAAAACCACAGTTTTTGTTCAGAAGTATGGTCTAAAAGAAGAAAACTGGACATGAGGGCACAGGATGATGAACATCTCTCAGAAAGGGCCAGAGAAAGTAATAATAGCACAGCCTCTCACAGTCCCAGAGTAGAAAGCAGAGAAAGAGCCCACAGCCCAGCACCATGGAGCCTCTAGAGCTGCACCAACTGTAAGAGGTTTTCTTTATTTGTTGTTGACTCACAGACTCACAGTTGTGGTATTGAGAATGAGGTTTACTAGGGAAGTAAGTTGGAGTGTGTGGGAGGCAAAGAATATCCCAAATAAGTTCAGGTTTTATCTCAAGTTCCAAAGTACAATTCCTCTATTAGTCCAGCCACTGGTTTCAATTCAGCTGTCAAATCCAAATTATCCAGCGAGTTAGAAAAGTCAGCTTCTCCTTCAAGCATCTGGCAAGAACAGCAAAAACCTTTAATTGTGGCCTTCATCTCAGAGCTCCTCTGCTTACACCTTGCTACAGTTTCTCCACAGAAGTACCACAGTCTTTCCACCACTAAGATTTCACTCCCACTATCGTCTTGCTCCAGTC